TCACACACACCCCTCCTCCACACACCCTCACCACACATACACCCCCACACATCCACTCACCATCATCTACCATCTCAGTAGGCCGTCTAGTCTCCATCTGCTCCCGCTGCTCCCTGACCCCCCAGTAGTTCACGTTAGACTGGATGGCCGTGTTCTGTTTGATGCGCGCCGTCTCTGGGTCGTCCACCACAGAGGTCTTCGTGCCTTTCTGGCGCTCAAAGTCCGCGTGGTACTGGATCTGTGAACACACACACATGGACCTGTGAACACACGTACACACACACACACACACACACACACACACACATACACACATAAGTGGGGACACACGGTACATATAGCGCTTGCACGTCAATCATCATCATCATCATCATAATCATCATCGTCATCACCATCGTCTCTATCACCATCATCATCATTGTAAACAGCAGAGAACAAAAAAGGGTTGAGACTTGTAGAATTTCCAAGAAGATGTTTATAAAGGTCCAACGTTTCGCCCGATCAAGGGCTTCATCAGGAATCATCACCATCACCATCATCAGAACTTTGTAAATGAAGAGCTCAACCCATGTTGCCGAAGATGCGGCCATGACAAGGAGGATATCAAACATATGTTTGAATGTCCAGGAACAATGGCAACTAGAGTGGAGTTATTTGGACGAGTGGAGGTGCCTCTGAGTATAATGACAATTGAGCCGAAAAACAGCCTCGCTCTGGATCGAAGATTTCTTCGTGGAGTCCACCAGGCCCATTATGGAAGCAAAAAACCAATCATCATCATCATCACTATCATCATCATCATCATCGTCATCATTACCATTCTCACCCTTGCTTGTATCGTAATGATATCAATAATCAGTAGCATTTATGCTGCGAATGTCCATTTTCATTTTTTATATTTAAAAAGCTCAAAGTACATTACATTAATAAAGATAACATATTTTAACAAATTCATTGATATATGATAATGTGTGTACATAAAACATAGTAACATATGATAGTACATCACAGCACACGGCAATACGGACCACACTCGGGAGACAAACATTATTCTGGTCACTGGATAAAACCACACGGTAAGAGACTGTTGTTTGTTTTAGTAAGGATTTACGGCGCTCACAACTTCATAAGGTCATATGAGCGCCAAGGGGTGGATGTTACAAAAGAAGTCCAAAAACGGGGAATCAAGCTTTAAAGCTTACTCTGTGAGAGATTAGTCAATGTTTGGTCGATGTTTAGTCAACAAGTACACTCAGAGAACACACACATACAATATTACTAATTATTGTGGTTGATCGACATAAAAGTATGGCGGCATCTCATTCCCTGACCCCTAAGGCCACTTGGGATATGGGCGTGAAATGCACTGTTTTAGTTTTAGTAGGAGTTTTATGGCACTTGCAACACAATAAGGTCATAGGTCATCTAAGTGCCGAAGATTACAGGTACTGCAAGAGAGAAACAAACGCAAAAAAAGAATGAGAGATAAAGACAATAGTTGTTGTTTGATTGGAAAGAAGGAGCAAACCACCCCAGAGCACCCTCCAACCACCCACTGTGGATGATCGACATATTATGGGGGTATCTCACTCAATGAGCCCTAAGGGCACTTAAGTATGGGCGTGAAATGCACTACCTGGGTCGACAAAAAATGACAAGAAAAAACAGATCCTAGCATGCAAGAACGTCTAAAATTGGTCAGAACAGGGGATCAAACCGATATCTCATTCAGTCTCTCCCTGTCTTTTTCTCTCTCTCTCTCTCTCTCTGCTCTCTCTCTCTCTCTCTCTCTGCTCTCTCTCTCTCTCTGCTCTCTCTCTGCTCTCTCTCTCTCGTTAAAACCAAATCTACTATAACAAACTACAACGTCAGGAGACTCGATCCAGGTCCTTACAAGGAATCAGGCTTACCCTGCTCACCTCTCTAGCCTCAACAGCACAAAGTCTGCTTCCACTATCAAGGCACCCCAAAAAAGCAGGTCACAAGAGAGTGACAAACATACAAAAGAAGTAGAGGAAAAGACAATAGTAAGGATCAGGAAAGAAAAAGCAGCAGTTCCCTGTTGTAGATCAGGCACAGTTATGACTGTGACATTGATGAATCAGCCCATTTACAATTCTACTGTGCATTAGAACGAGAAATGTCCCCCCTTTTGGGAATGGCCAACAGACACTTCAGTCAGTGGCACCGCCCCGGGGGGGTGTAGATAGGTAGGTAGGTAGGTAGGTAGGTAGGTAGGTAGGTAGGTAGGTAGGTAGGTAG